CTGAGCAGGTGCCGTTTTCCCTCTGCTTGCTCTCGGGGACAGCTGAAGCCTGTTACCCGAGCTCCCTTCGTCAGAAACCCACGGCTCCACTCGCAACCTCTGCCACTGGGAGACTAGCCATTATTCTTTTTCAAGCTAGACTCATGAACCTGCTGGAATACTTCAAAGGAAAAACAAGCGCCTGTGCTACCTGCTTTCAAGATTTATTGTTTTTTAAATGCTACCTTGAGAAGTTGTTCTTCTGGGCTTCAGAAGGAAAGAGAGGCCTCCTGGGGGAGGGGGTCAGCTTTCCCCACATCCCCAAGTGAACAGAAGCCAGCTCAGAAAGGCCAGGGAAATGGCAGGGGGAGCGGAAAACCTGGGGCCAACTGTAAAGTCGGCAAGGTCCAGTTCACATTGCCAGGTCCAATTTTTAAAAATTCAGATTGCCCCTGAAAGAGCAAAATGGGTACAATGTAAAAATGTTCTAAGTTTACTGTCCAGTGTTACTGCCAAAAACCCACTGCCATTTGGACATGCTGTAAGAGCATTTCCTCGAAAGCCACATAAACTACATTTTTTTAAATCAAATCAAGGTAGGGGGATACTGACAAAATTCTATATTGATGATAAAGTGTTTCAAATGACATTTGGCCCTTGAAGTTTCCCGGATGAAAACAAAAGCTGCGAAATGTGGTACAGGCAGCTGTTTCTCTAGTTCTGGTGTAAGAAAAGGCGTGTGTGGGTACCAACGGCCTGCCACAGCCTGGAGGCACCCCCAGCTCTCCGAATCGGAGGTGACAATCGCAGGCTTGGCTACAAATCACATGCTAGCCCACAACCAACACAGGCTGATTAGTGGGCACGTTGGGTTTTGGTGCAAGGCACAAGAGGTCTCCCAATGCCTGCTGGAGCTAAATCGGGGCCAAGAAGGGGGAAGGCCCACAGGGATGCACTGAAAGCCAGTATGTCCGCTACTACAGATCAAGCCACGCCCTGAAACCCACAGGAAAGACGCTACCAAAGACAAGGAGACACCTGTCTGTGGACCCCCAAAGGGAACTACGAACCTCCAAACCTCTGCTCAGTGATTGGTGTCACTGCTTGAATTTAAGAAACCTGCAAGGAACAATGTGGGTCTTGCAAAACAGCCTAGTATTCATATTTAAAGAAAAAAAATCAATCTGGTTTTTATTTCCCTGCTTCCGAATCCCTTAAATAGTTTATTTCATTTGAAAACGGAAATTAGCTAATTCCATTGTTCTCTCAACTTTTTAGTTAGCTTGTATTAAGCTTACTGCAGTCATTCTTAATCCCTATATTGTCGATCTTATTACTTCAGCCTACTTTCTCTTATTCCAGCATTCGTTTACGTTTTAACGATTTCACTTATCCACCCAGCAAATATTTACTGATTGCCTTGTATGTATCAGCCACTGTTTCAGGTGCTGGGGGCACAGTGGTAAACAAGATCTGAGCAAATTACATGACACGCTTGGCAAACTCTTTTGGAAAGTGAATTTTTAAAATTTTGGTTATCCAATACATGAATATACAGTCTGCTCATCAGCAGGAAGCTTCTTCTTGTTATGACTGTGGGACACATGAACACTGCACAAAGCTTCTGCAAAGAAGTAAAAGTAGGACTTCCCTGGTGGCGCAGTGGTTAAGAATCCGCCTGCCAATGCAGGGGACACGGGTTCGAGCCCTGGTCTGGGAAGATCCCACATGCCACGGAGCAACTAAGCCCGTGCGCCACAACTACTGAGCCTGTGCTCTAGAGCCTGAGGCCACAACTACTGAGCCCACGTGCCACAACTACTGAGCCAATGTGCTACAACTACTGAAGACGGTGTGCCTAGAGCCCATGCTCCACAACAAGAGAAGCCACCGCAATGAGAAGCCCGTGGACCGCAACGAAGAGTAGCCCCCGCTCACCAAAACCAGAGAAAGCCCACGTGCAGCAACGAAGACCCAATGCAGCCAAAGATAAAATAAATAAAATAATTTTTAAAAAAAGTAAAAGTAGCAACCACTTATAGAGGGCTTACTCGACGCCAGGGATTGTTCTAAGTTCTTTACCCATATTAACCAAGTTAATCCTCCCAATGACCCTCTGGGTCATTATAATTATCTCCATTTTACAGATGAGAAAACTGAGGCCCAGCAAGCTTACATGACTTCTCTAAAGGCAGTCAGTGGTGGAGCTGGCCTTGAACTCAGCAGTCTGGCTCAAGGTAGCCTTTTTCTGACCCCGGTGGGGCTGAGGCTTCCTTAAGGTTTGCTTCTGACATAATGTAATTTAAAACAGCAGGAGACAAGAAGAGGCGTTTGTTGGGAAAAGAATCATGTTGCAGAGAGAACTGGCAATAAATATTCCTGATTGGCTGCCTGATAAGGATGGAATGGGGTTTGGAGAATTTCATACTCTCATGAAATAAACATGTGATTTTTGACCTTCCAGAAGTAACAGAAACTATTCAAAGTATCCCATTTTTATCTTTTCCCCCTTTCAGCCTTCACTTTACACTGTGCTGTCTTGGCAGAATCTTGCTCACAGTTGGCTGTGGCTTCCCAAGGGCTAAAGAAATGCCCAGACACATATAACCTGGGCAACAGGGACACATCTAGCTTTGGGAATATCAAAGGTCAGTCGTGCTGCGTGCAAAAGCTTATAGCGTTCTGCACAAAAAGCCCCTCACTACATAAAGGTTGAAGATTTGCCAAAAGCCACAGAATTGGACCTTAACATCTTCTATAGGTACCTAATCAAACTGTCCCTCCTGATAAGTAAACTCCCATGTCTTGAATCCCAGGAACATTACACGTATTACAAACCGTGGTCCCCAGACCACAGCAACATCATCACCTGGGAGCCGGTTAGAAATGAAGACCCTCAGGCCTCACCCAGACCTGCTGAATCGGAGTCTGCATTTTAACAAGAGCCCCAAGTGATGTGAATATTAAAACTGGAGAAGTGCTGGAAGGGTCACTAATTCCATTTTCTAGCTATTTAAGGTGCTGGGAGGGGAGCTGCTGGTGACTCTCTATTGGTTATAAACACATCAATCTCTCGAAAGGTATATTCTCAGCCTCACCTCATGATTTAACTTAAAACTATCTTCCTGATGCAATCCAATCATCCCTGTGTGAGCAGATATTAAGGCTTCAGATGTGCGAAACTACGTTTCTTATGACACCCAGAAAGAAATGGTCAAGAGCCCCCCGTGTGTACAATGACTCACACTGGTGTCTTTTCTTCAGAGCAGGTTAATTACCTTTCCCAAATCCCAGCAAGTCCCTTTAGCATAGGCCACAAACATAAATCTCAGCCCAGCTCCTGCCCAAGTTAACACAAAGTAATCAAAATAATAATAATAACAGCTACCGTTCGTGTGGTGCTTACAACACGTCTGATGCTGTTTTGACAACTTAAAGTGTAAAAAAAAAAAAAATCACTTAATCCTCACAGCAACCTTATTTTACACATGAGGACAACGAAGGGCAGAGAGGTTCAATGGTCTGCCCTAAGCCACACAGCTAGTTCATGGTGGTGATTCTAATCCAGGCCAGCTGTCTCCAGAGTCCACACTGGTAACCACAGCACCACATGGCCTCTCAGAGCCCAAATTAATGCTGCCCAGGCTTCCAAGAGTCCCTTATTCAAATGCTCTCATAATAAAGACTGATCGGGCTTCCCTGGTGGTGCAGTGGTTAAGAATCCGTCTGCCAGTGCAGGGGACACGGGTTTGAGCCCTGGTCCGGGAAGATCCCGCATGCCGCGGAGCAACTGGGCCCGCGCACCACGACTACTGAGCCTGGGCTCTAGAGCCTGTGAACCACAACTTCTGAGCCCGCGTGCCACAACTACTGAAGCCCGCCCACCTAGAGCCCGAGCTCCACAACAAGAGAAGCCACCGCAATGAGAAGCCCGCACACCGCAACGAAGAGTAGCCCCCGCTCACCACAACTAGAAAAAAGCCCGCATGCAGCAGCGAAGACCCAATGCAGCCAAAAGTAAATATAATTTATTAATTAATTAATTTTAAAAAATAAAGACTGATCACTTATTTAGGAGAATGTAATTCACTTCAGAGGTTTCAGTTGACAAAAAGAGAGGCTGGCAGCTACTAAGACGTTATTTCACTAAGTTAAAACATTATTAACGTCTGGTTTCTAATTCTTAGTTGGGATTGCAAGAGCACGTGGTCTGCTGCTTGGAAGTGCTTTAAAATGTCCTTCTGCCTGTAATTGGTACCAGCTCCGACATTAAAACTGCACTGTATTTTCTATAAATGAGAAGCAGTTGTAAATGTTAAGGATTCATGATATTGCTGGCTTTGATTATGCATTAAATGAGTGGTCTAATTTCTCTTTTTAGCTGCAGATAACTCTTTTTGTAAGTGAAATCTTAAAGACAATACCAATACATGTGACTGGGTAAAGCCTTGGGCTTTGGTTGAAGTGGAGAGAAGGAAATCTCTTGACCTTTACCATCTGCCTCAGTATCCCAAGAAGGCCCGTCCCTAGAGTCCTGAAAACACAGAATGAAAAATGCCAAGGGCAACACAGTGAGCCGCCTCTCCTCTGCACCAATTCAGCTCTCCTTAGACCCTCCCTGCCTGACTCTACACAAGGTGAGGTCCTCTGCCTTATACCTGAAAGACCTCACAGGACCTGTATTCTCCCCTGTGAAGCTGAAGAGAAGGAAACTCGACGCACAGTTGAAAAGCGCACTGCCCAATGCTTGGCAAAACACGAATGGGTCACAGAAACACAATGAAGGGTGACGTTTCCAACTGCAAAGTAACGTGGAGGCCTGCCAGGGCATAGATAGCAGTCAGCTATATATGCTTATTAGGGAGTGAATTTTGGTATTTTTTTTCTTCAATCGCTTCTGTTTGCACTGGAAGCAAAGCAAAATAACACATACTCCCAGGCACAGTACAGGAAAAGAACTGCGGGTTACGGCGCATGAAATACAAAAACCAGTGAAGTCCTAACCAGTAATCATGACCCACCTCTTAACCATGAATGCATCCCACTGCCTGGCCATCATCCCTGTGGGTGCATATAAACAAAATTTAAATTTACATAAATTAGTATGTAAAATAGTTTTAAGTGCTCTTTGCACGAAGAGAATGGCAAAGTGGTTCCCAATATATTGATACCACTCAACAACAGGTAACAGACAACAGGTAGCACGTGTGGAACTGGAGGTGGGGGGGGCCCTCCCAGATCCCCCCTTCCCATCCCTTTTAACCATTTCTGCCTAAGAGACCACACTACCAGCTCACCACCAGGAACCTGGACTCCAGGCAAGCAGTTCTGGTGTGCAATTAACACAGTACTGGCCATACCCTTTTCCTACCAAAATCTCTTCACAAAGTTTAGCCAAAATTGATCTCATTGATTAAAAGGTGGGACCTGGAACCAAAATATTATAAAGTCTCAGTTAAGAAGAATGTACAGGGCGTGGCATGTATGGATTAAATACATGTTCAAGTTAATTTTTTTAAAAACCTTTCTATGATGTCGTAGTGTGCTGTCCTTACTAAGTTGAGCATAAATAATTAAATCAGTCTTCGGGGAGTGGAGTCAGTTTTGGTTTTTGTTTCTTAAACGAGGCACTCTAAAACTGCACGATAAACAAAAGGAATCAGGCTCAATCTGCACACATATTAAGATGAATCTTGAAAACTGCTTTTTTACCAAATTCTTTACATGAGCTTGCTTTCCTGTAATTTTCCTAACTCTAAAGGTTTGCACGTGGCAAAAAAAATTCTGGGTTCCCTTAGGTTGCATTTATTCTGACACCTTTGAAGCAAGTCCATCCCATGGGACTTGAACCGTGACAAACCCGGTGAGAGTTATCGACCCAGAGCGGGCCAGCCTCGTGTCGCTGCATACCTCAGCTTTCACAAACACACCACAGTGCGGCTTACCTTGACTCCCAGGGCTTCTCCAGAAATGACAGCAATGGTCACGGCCTCCTTACTGGGTTTAGGGATTTCGTTGCTTTTCAGTTCCTGGTACCGAGGCTCCACCATCTTCTGTGGGCTCCTCAGGTTAACCCACATCTGTAGGCCGTGGACTGGCTCCTCTGAGCAAGGCATCTCGGCGTTCACGATGCCCCGGCCCGCGGTCATCCACTGCAAACACCAGGCCGACAAGAAGGAAGTGTGACCCGGCCTCTAATGAGTCCACAGGTGGGATGATTACCACCTGGTAACTAAGTCAGGCACCTTACAAGTCTGCTTTCCGAGGAATAACAAAACGACAGAGACGACTGCCGGGGCCCTTTCCAGTTTTCCAAACATGTCCCATGCTTCCGCGTGTGCGATCAAATCATCAGCTCTGGAATTCACACAAATGGAAGAACCCCCTCTTTGGCATCCCTGAGTCTTAGATTGCGCCCCTAGATGGGGAGTTGCGGGCAGAGAGTAAACCGAGAAGTGCTCTCGGGAGACGCATCTTAACAAGTGAAGAAAGCAGGATTGGGCAGGGGGAGAAGCCAATCACCAATGCAGTTATTGTACAACGGAGGCCTTAGCCGAGCCAACAGGGAGCTCTGGAGTCGGATGAAACTTCAGAATTGTCCCAAATTGAGGCTTTCCTATCCCCACATCAGCAAACCCTTGACTGTGGGCCACCCTGCAGTAGCGAGCACAACCTTGGGAGAGGCAGTTCCCGGGATAGAGGGCAGCGCCCAGAGTGGGATGCAGCTGAGGGCCATCAACAGCCGGTATTCGCAGCAGCTGGAGGACACGAGGTGGGCCTACTGGTACCCGTGGAGGCCCACGGGACCCACCACACCATAGGCGGCTGACTTCAACACGGGGAACGGAGCCCTCACCACTTGGAGGAAGTTACTGCCTCCGCTCTTCTGCAGACTTTTCAAGCGTTCATTTACTTCTTTACTAAGAGCACATGAGGGGCCAGCCCCAGATGCCAACCTCTGGATCTGAGGATAAAGGGATAGAACACAAAAGGTAGGTTTCTTGCCTGTCTCAGCTTGGGTTCTCCCACAGAAGATGCTGAGACAAGGGCTCGAGTGCAGGGAGTATATCTGGCAAGTGGTACAGAAAGCACAAGTAGGGAAGCGCAGGAAGGGTGAGCCAGGCAAGGGAGAAAGCCACAAAGGGGGGTTAACGAGCAGGTTACACCTGTGGGCACCTGGGGCTCAATCCCACCGGCAACCATGCCGAGGCACGTTAGAATTGATACATGGAGGGCGGAAAAATCCACTTCCTGGGTCACAAGCAGTCGAAGCTATGCTTTACACTCTGCTCCGGGGACAGGTTACTGTTGACTTTTGGGCACGACTCTTTGCCCTTTTGCTTTTCTGCCTCTCAATCTCCTGTTCACTGAAACACCACAATTCAAATATTTGCAGATGTCATCCCCCAAAATATGTAAATGATCCCAGAAACTACCTGTAGAGAGTCCACACTTATAAAAACTGGCGAAGATGAACCAAGCACTTCCTGGGGATTTTAATGGTAACACGTCTCAGACAGGACTAGGATGGTGGCCGGGTTTGGCTCATGCTCTTTAAGTGACAACACCTACCCCTGCAGATGGACTGGAAGATAAATAGAAAATTGTCTCAAAGGCAGCAGAGAGATCTAGAAAGATGAGGCCGGAAACTGGCGCAGTGAATGTGGCAGCAACTGGGACATCATGAGTGACCGTGACCTGAACAGCGTCAGGAAAGGTTTGGGGGGCAGTGCTGAGAGGCCAACCCTGATTTCAGTGACTGGAGGATGGGACGGAAGAGAAGGAAGCCGAGACAGTGACTTGTGATTACTTTTTTCAGAAACATCAGGAAAAGCCCTACGTGGGAGCTAAAAACTGATTGTGAGGGCCCAGGGAAGCATGAGAGAGGAATACAAGGGACCTGTGCAGGTTTTCAGGCGGAGTGCAAGAAGCGATAGAAAGGGACAAGTCCAAGGTGTAACAGACAGAGCAGGGGACGCGGGAAGCTACCAGAAGTGGGTGGGATGGAGCAGCCTCACCCAAAGACTATGAAACCATCAGCCATTCCTCATCTTGGCCATACCTGCAGGTCTCCTGGGTTCAACTGACCAGTGTGTCCACAAAAGTCCTCATGGGCCATGCTGCCCCCTTCCAGGAGGTAAGATACCTTTAAAAAAAAAAAAAAAAAAAAAAAAAACAGAAGAAAAAGTAGGTGTTGGAGGGCTGTGAAGAGTTGTTCACTTTTTCCACTGAAAATGTGTTGACCAAAGTGTCAGGAGCAACTAAGATGGTTGAGCTGAGGGGATGAACCTCAGTGACAGGGCCACGCTAGCCCGGGCAACATCTTTGAGAGAATTTCAAGTGGGAGCCCCTTCCTCCGGGCAGATGCAGCCCTGAGCAAGCAGAGCTCCCAGCTGGGTGAGAGGGACCGCCACTCATACCCTCAGCCCGCCGGGACGAGGCCCTGCCATGGTGGGTCCCAGAGCCCAGGGTGAAAGAGACGAAGCTCCTGTTGAAACAGCAGGAGCCCTGTTACCAAGGCCACGTTCACCCAGGTGTGTGGGACGACAGATCTCAGGTCTCCACACCTTCCTTTACAGGCTGATAGGAGAAATCCAAAGGACGTGTCTTTCCAACACCAGGCACACACACTCCTGAGGTGCTCAGTAAATGCTGGCGAGATATATCAGATGAATTCATAGAAATTAAAGTCAACTTTTCCAGAGGCAAGACCGTACTAAATCTAAAAGCATTGTCCGTGTTGACATTCTGTGTTGTCCGTCACAGTAGCCACTAGCCACAAGTGGCTACGTTTAAAATAATTAAACAAAATAAAAAATTCAGCTGCACTAGTCACATTTCGCAGGTTCAACAGCCCCATGTGCCTAGTGGCCACCACAGTGGACAGCACAGATTATAACGCATTTCCATCTTTAAAGAAAGTTCTATTTGATGACACTGATCTTGGTAAATAAATCTGAGTAACAGCAGCCATCTATGGTAGGCATTCTGCGCAGGGAGCAAAACCTTCCTGGGAGCGTCTGCAACCACAGTACCTCTTGGCAGAACGAAATTTTACCGATTCTAAACAGCACTAGAAAATCGAGCCCTTCTTATTTCATGATTTCACTAAACGGAAAAGTCAAGCAGCTCTACAATTCTCATTTTAAAAACGATTGTGATTATCCTAACTAACAAAAATGAAAAAGACACCCAACTACTTAGCATTTTAAACTACCCCAGGGACATGGTAACATGTGAAATGTAAGACTTAACACTGAAAGCTTAAGACGCTGTTTGTACGTTGGTGCTGGAGTCCTCTCTGTACCCCTCTATTTAGATTCGACTTTCCATTTTGCTCATTTTGTACACACTTATGAAATTCATCTGTAATGACAACAAGAAATACCAATCAGCCACAACAGCTCTGAAAGGTGTCTGCAAAACCATGTTTACTGGCAAACCACGCGTGGCTCCCCGCCTCAGGCTTACGGGTGACAACTCCGATCACTTGCATCATTGGATGAAGTTTTCACATTCTAGCTATCCAAATGCTTTCTTTAAAGCTTAGATGTGTTTATCCGTTTTAACCTTGGAAACTGTACTTCAAAACTCTCTTTAACCATTATTAAACGAGCAAACCAGAAAATGCAGTCTGCAATTAAAATCCAACATCTCTTGTAATTATGTAAGCCAGATCTAATTTTTGCTCAAAGACTCATTCCACCAAATATAACAATTTAAGTCACTACTTAAAGAGTAAATAATACTTTTTAAGGAACAAATCACAAATCTCTAAAACCACAAAAAGAAAGAGTAGAAATATTATATTTCAACAGGAAAGAAAAACAAAAAAAAATATACCCAAGAGGTAAGAGAAGAGAAAATATCTATGAAGGTTTCAGCATATATATCAGATACTACTGTTTTACACAAATAAGATTATTTCCTCCTCCATACAAGAACGCATTATATATGTCTAGGCCAGATTGTTTTTGCAGTCTGTTTTTGCTGTATCCTAAGGCATAAAAAGTAGATCTAACTTTTTTTAATATGAAAATTCAAAAAGTTGTTTCATAACCTATAAGTGGCAATGGGTTTCTGATCATTTTCCTATACATTTGTGTATTTAGTAACTAGCCAAAAGATTATCAATTCATAGATGTAAAACTTACAACAGAATACTTTTTAAATAATAAAGATTTATGAATTCATTGAACAAATAGTCATTGAGGTCTTCCAATGGAAACGACACAGAAAATATCAGTAATTGTTTTCATGAAGCTCATATTCTCATGCAGAAGAGAGTAACTGGGAATAAAATACGGAGTAAGGGTCCTGCTGGGTAAGTACACGGTCGTGTGAGGAGCACAGGAAGGATTTAGCTCACACTTGGGCGCCAGATAAAGCTTCTGGGAGGAAGTGAGTCCTAAAGAGGGAAGGGAGTAAGCCAGACAAAAAAGATGGCAGTGAAGGTGGGCCAGGAGTGTGTTTCAGGCACGTGTGAAGACCAAGAAGTGAGGGAGATCATGACTCACTCAGCACGAATGGCAAAGACATAAGCCTAGAGAGACGAGAAGGGGCCACAAAATAAAACCAAGATTGCACTAACACGAGATTCAGCCATGAGCTTGGTGTCCTATATCAGTGTGACCCCTGCTCCATCAGCAGGGCAGGACCTTCCACAGTGCTAGGGAAAACCTCCGCTGCCCTTGGTGATATCTCCCTCCCCATGGAGGGTACTCCATTAACATTAACACTCCTCAACTCTTGCTGTATCTCACCCACTCCTCCATAGTGGGAAGGAAACAGCTTGATCTGATTGGTGGACTTGAAAGAGGAAGCTGCGCTCGCAGAGCTGAACCCTGCTTCTCCTCTTCCTCTTTGGGAATCAGCCTGCCACAGGTCAGGGTCCTCTTCCGCTCTTTGCCTCTGTGAGAAGGGCCAGCCCCCATGGCAGTGGCCTGCAGGGCTCCAGCACAGCCAGTGAGGTCTGAATAGAGTCTGCCTCAGTTTCAGGTGCTGTATTCAGGAGCCCAGCTGCCTGCAGATATAAGCCACATTCGACAGTATCAGCTTTA